ATGCTGTCTGTCGTCTACAAACTTTTCACTCGAGTCATCTTAAAGAGGATTGACAGAGCACTGGACGAAGAAAAACCGTGTGAGCAAGCAGGGTTTCGAAAAGGACTTAGTACGATGGACCACATCCACACGGTAACAAGGCTCATTGAAGTATCGCGAGAGTACAAAAGACCGATCTGTTTCATTTTCAACGATTTACAGGCCTTTGATTCAATTGAAATGGAAGCAATCATAAAAGCCATTGATAGTCAAGGAGTCCTTACCCAGTACATAAAGATTCTTCGTGGGCCGTACAAAATCTCACAACCAATATCGTTGGTATCACATTCTACAACGATATTAACACTGACGTCAAAAGAAGGGTTAGGCAAGGCGATACAATCTCGCTAAAGTTATTTACACCCGCCATCCAGAACGTCATGCGAACATTGGAATGGGATAATATGAGAGTGAAAACCGATGGTCGGCAGTTACACCATCATCGCTTTGCTGATGTCATCGTCCTTATAACACTAAACATTAGCCAAGTGGAACCTATGCTTCCTGATTTTGATAAAGCCTGTGGGAAGATTGGTCTTCGACTAACTTTCACAAAAACGATATTCATGAACAACGGATTGGCTTCGTATGGCCAATTCACGCTCAAAGGAACGAATATCTCCGAATGCTCCGGTTAGGTCTATCTTGATCGGGAAATCAAAATGGTGAACGATTTAGCTCAAGAGCATCAAGGACGTAATGAAGAGAACAGGGAACGATCTAGGAGACACAAACTGGCACTAAATCCAGTTTCACGTATCACCCCTAGCCATGAAGATGAGTAGGTAGTAAATAAAAATTAATACATTGGATAAGAAGTGGTCGGCCTTGACACAATCTCTTAGCGATGCTTCATACATCGGACTCCATTCGTAGGATCGTCGAAGTGAGTGGAAGCAAATTCGATCTATACAATGACTCATGGGAGTATCGATCGAGTCGACGTTTTCATACACTCAGACCAGTATGTAGAAATTTGTTGGCCCCAGATGGTTTAGTGGATTGGATTGTTTCACCTTGTGAGCGTGATCGAACTAAACACAACGAGTTCACTGCAGGACATCGTTAACCATGCACTGTGCGTGCCTCTTCATACAATTACCTCCTTCATTTCTTTTACCAAGCTTTTTAGTGGCTACAGAAAGAAAGAAATTGTTTAATTCTACCAAACGGAACAGAGAAAATTCTTATTTAACATTTTTTTTCCTTACATTAACACCTAAACGCTCATCAGCTTTTATTTATCACATGAGCTTTTTCCTTTCTAGAGCTCAGCAAAACGCGAAGTTTTCCTTGTGCGGATAGGAAAACGCGATATACCGATTTTCGGAAAGTTGAAATTGGATTGCAGTATCACCTATATCACCTATAGTCCCGTTGATCGTCTAGTGACTCGAGCGGGAGTCAGTAAACATTCCATTTTTCCTTGTCGGTTGCAAGAGCAGCCCAGTGGGTTCTACTCGCTCTAGGAACTCGTCGAGCATCATATCTTTCTTGAAGGTTTTTTGTGAAGAACTCTGACCACCGGTCGATGGTCCTCCTGCAGTGCGTTTAACATCCCGAGGAATCCAGTCACAAACGGCTCTTGTCCATCGGTTGTCATTCATACGCATTACGTGTCCGGCCCACCTTATCGTCGACTGTTTGGCGTACAGAACGGCGCCTTCGATTTTTGATCGTTGACGTAGGTCGGAGCTTCGGATCCCATCCCTTACTTGTGTGAAACGGGATACTCCTAGCATCGTCCTTTTCGATTGCGCGTTCGATAACGCTGAGTGATGTTTCATCCTGCTTAAGCAGCAACCAGCTTTCTGGCGCATACGTTAGAGAAGGAAGGACCGTTGAGTCGAAAAGGTGGAAACAGAGTCGGGTGTTCTTTGTCCTGTTCATTACATCCTCGATGCTCTTGAAAGCTACCCAAGCCGCTTGTCTCCTGCTCAGCTCTGGAGCTAAGTCGTCCATCATATTGATTTCCCAACCTAGATGGACATTACTGGAGCATTCGGAGACATTCGTTCCGTTGAGCGTGAATGGGGCATACGAAACCAATCCGTTGTTTATGAACATCGTTTTTGTGAAAGTTAGTCGAAGACCAATCTTCCCACAGGCTTTATCAAAATCAGGAAGCATACGTTCCACTTGGCTAATGTTTAGTGTTATAAGGACGATGTCATCAGCAAAATGAAGATGGTTTAACTGCCGACCATCGACTTTCACTCTCATATTATCCTATTTCAATGTTCACACGATGTGCTAGAGAGTGGAAGTAAGTAATTTTGGCGAGATGGTATCATCTTGACTAAATCCTCTTTTGACGTCGATGTTAATATCATTATGTAATATCTTAGTTGTGAAATATTTGTAGAGTTCACGAAGAATCTTTATGTGCTGGGTAGGGACTCTTCAGCTACCAAGGGCTTCCATGACTGCTTCTATCTCAGCTGAGTCAAATGCCTTTTTTAAATCAATAAGTGGGACTGGGCGGTCTTTTGCACTCTCGCGACACTTCAATGAGCCGTGTTAATGTGTGGATGTGCTCTATCGTACTAAATGCTTTTCGAAACTCTGCTTGCTCACACGGCTGCCCTTCGTCAGGTGTTCTGTCCATCCTGTTTAGGATGACTCGAGTGAAAAGTTTATAGACGACAGACAGTATGCAGATTGGGCGATAGTTGCCTATACCGTGTAACACGGTCATGCTGGTCTTCCACTGAGTAGAGACCTTGCATTCAAACAGGTAACGTATGAACTGCGGAGCCACTGTGTTTAGAGCACTGATAGAAAATTCTTCAGGTGTTCAGATCTCATCCTGTTCGGACTTGGTGCTGTTCGACTTTTCACCGATGAAATGGCATGTCGGATTTCGGAAGGAAGAACCGTTGGTACAACATATCCATCCTCCTTTATTTCATATGACAGAAGCTAGACACGGGCTATCGAAAAGATCCGAGTAGTATTCGTGAATGGTTTTCTCCATTGCCTTTCTGGACGCTGTAAGTGTTCCGTCTAGGGGTCGGAATGCAACCATTTTGGCCTTGTAATAGGCGAAGCTTCGGTGGGCATGGCGATGCTTTTCCTAACCTCTTCAGCTTCGACGGATACTGCTGCTCTTCTTTCCTTTCAGATCTTTTTTATCGCTTGTCTACATTGTTTTGCAAGTTCGGACGTTAGTTCGTGATTGCCTGCAGCTCGTGCGATTCCATGCTGGCGTATCAGCTCGAGTGTTTCTGGAGACAGACGTTTCTTGGTGACTTTTTAACTCCCAGCTTTAACAGCGCTAACGTGAAGATGTTGAATTAGCTGATCGTATTCCTCGTCGATGTTATCGACAACAACATCTTCCCAACAACCGACTAATGAATTGAATAAACCCCAGTTTACGGTGGTTATGGGACTTCGGTTTTTGTATTTAGCAGCTTTTTCTCCTTTCCGCGAGAAATCTGGCACGAAAGAGGCGATGGTCTGGTCCCGTGTAGAATTGTGAGACAACAGAGACATTGATCAGGAAAACCTCCTATTTACTACGATGTAGTCTATCTCGTTATGGCACTCTCCAGTGGGAGACTCCCACATCCAGCTTTGAGTGTGGGGCTTCTGGAGTTGCGAATTACCATGGATGGCTTTGGTCGCCATGATAAACTTAAACAGCCGCTCACCCTGTTCGTTCCATTCTAATCCGTGGATCTCAATGTGACGTTCTTCAGACGTTCTTCTTAGTCCGATCTTGGCGTTGAAATCCCTAACAATGACTCTGAAGAATCTGTGGTCTTGTCTGTGGTCTGAACTTCTCCAACTTCATATAGAACGCTTCGACTTTTTCTTCGTCATAGTTTGATGTCGGCGCGTAAACGACGAAGATTGTCAAAGCCGGTATTAATCCACATCTTTCTAATCGTAAACGTCCAATTCGGGCTGTAAGCTGTTCGAATGAATCGATGTTCATGGACAAACTCGTGTTGACAAGAACGCCGACGCCGCCGATTCCTCTACTGTCGCATGTTCCGGGGAACAGTTCTTCTCCGGTGTAATAGACAGTGTTGAAAGGCTGGCTTCTTTTCGTCTCGGCCAGACCGATGACGTCGTACCTTGTCCTTCTTGCCTGCATGAGCAAGTCTTCTATCGAGGACTCGGATGCAACTGTACGTGTATTGTAGGTACAGATGGTCATCATAGTTTCTTGCAATCCACGCAGCTTCCATTGTCACTGAGATTTTAGCATCCACTCCGTACTCATCCTAACCAACGCCGCCGAATTGGGGGTCCTTTCAGGGTTAAGGGAATGAGGCCCGTTTCTTTTACTGTTTTCATCTTCTTGATACTCACATATAGTTTACTGGGCTCTGAACGTTGGGGTTAGGTATACTCACGGGTAGCTTGCCAGGCTCTCCCAGAGTAAACGTGAAGCTTATTTGTTGGAGGTGACTCCTAACCGCCTCCCATATTCTTCCCTGTCACTTGATTGCAGGCTTACTGTCGAATTGACCCGTAGAATAGAATTTGCGTAAACCAGAACTCACCCACACACGCGTGCATGAATACGCCTCGTAAATACAGAAGGTATGTGCCAAATCGGCGCAGCAGAAACAGGGAGTCCATCCCCTGGATCCATCTGCGTCCTAGGGAAGCAAAGGTCGGTTTTGGTCCGCGATTAACTCGCCAATCCGCCACCTGGGGACGCGCCACGTAGCCTCACGACTAACCGGCTGGAGATTCCTCGTGTGAGAGAGATCCGTGGAGATTGCAGCAGGATAATTTTTTGGCTGCGGTAGATCGGCAATAAGTCAAAAATGTTCACGAATAAAGGTGTTTTCCAGCGAATTGTTGCGATGGGGCGAAATTTTAGGGATAATTACAGGAACACTAAACCACGTGTCTTCTATTGGCGCCGAAGATGAAAATACGAGTGTTTTACTAAGAGCCACTATGATAAAGTGAAAAAGACAAAAAAGAAGCCCATAGTGATCTACTTCACAGCAGTCCGAATGTACAAGAAAAAAAATGTCCTGAAACGAAAACATTACACTATCAATAGTGATGAGTGCTTAAAGAACGTGGAGAATATCGTCACGGTTAGTATCTGTTGTCACTGAGTACATCAGACATTGTGTTTCATGGAGAAAACAACAATGAAGCAAACATTTATAAAGTTTGAAATCTTTTCCTTCCTTTGAGTGAGTTTGTTATTTTGGTTAAAAAAATTTGGCTAAAGAAGAATTTTTTGCGTAGTGGGAAACTGTACAAGAAGTAGGAAAGTAAATAGATAATGTAAATAATGACAGGGCGTTCCCAAACAAGGACTTTCTCCCTCACACTATCAAAGGTGATTTAAAATAGGAAAGAAATTTTGTATTAATGCTGGATATCAAGCAACTACTGTTGGAGGATCATCACCGACTGATTTCAACATTGTTGTTGATTGACCGCACAACCAGCGGTGGAAGTGGAAGAAGTCCATTGTTTCTCTCGTTTATCTCGTTGGCGAAGGTGATCGATGAGCTAGAGATTCTTGACGGATATCGTACTGAGGTAAGTCTTTACATCTTGTTTTTTAATTAATATATAAACAAAGAATAAAGGATAAAACGGTCCGCTTTGATCAATTGTATAAGCATTGCACCATGTTGTCGATTCCCTTGAGCATCGCAGTGGGGATTAAATGCTTATTAAACAGATACAAAAATTCCTGGCGGCCACCGTACTACCAAGCTATGTTCTTCTAGCCTGGGCCGACACCCAGTGTACTAACGCCGAAAGGTTGGAAGAGGCAATGCTAGCTTAGAACGTGGGATTGAACCAACCACCGCATATGCATTACATAGCACTTTTAATCAATGTGTTGCGCGCATCCCTTATTTTTGCAGCTACTTATAAGTTTTACAAAATTCACGCAAAAAATAGCTGCTGAAACTGCTTGAATGTTTCTAAATGAATGCGACTATTTAAGTACTCTGGAGCAGAAGAAACCTTCGAAAAGCATCAACCTTTAATCTGTCGAAAATCTAATAGTGCTGAATTCGTTCAGAAAACATTCGGGTGTTAGATTAGTTTAGAAATTCCATTTTAAATTCGACGATTTCAAATTCTAGTCATTCATTCGATACTATTTCGCTTAAGATCTCAATGGAAAAGGATAACGATTAGATGGCGATGAAAATAGGAAAAGGTAGAAAAAGTTCATTCTAGATGTAGATTTCGTACCATCCAATGCTTTTATTCTGCCAAAACCCTCAAAGAAACAAGTGGCACTAAAGTGCAGTTTTCCCATAAAAAACTCTCGGCGTTTCTCAATCTCTGGGGATGCGCCATGCATTTGACTCCATTAAGAATCGTTAAAGGTGATTGAATGCATGTTTGGCTTTTAGAATAACTCATGATGGCCTGCCGATGTATCGAGTCAATGCTGCTATCCTCCCAGACTACTTCGGTATCAACTTGCCGACCACGAGGGAGTGGAGGGCTTGGTCGGCCTGGGGGGCGGGGATCGATCCCATATGTATAGCAAGGCGCCTTCGAACACTGCACCCCAGGCTCACAAATCTGTCCATCCTTCCGCAAATTGCTACCAGATTTGTCTGGGTGGATAGTAGCACTGGCCCGATACAACGTTATGCCACCAGCCACTTCCAACGATGTTTAATGCATGGCGCATCTATCAGGGACTGACCAACGCAGGGAGCTTTATCCTTTTTAGTTTTCCTATGTACAGCAAAAACGCTGCCGTTTGGCACAATCTTAGAAAACAAATCAATTGCAAGCACCTTTTCATCGATATGCTAACGCGAGGTTGATAAAAATCAATAAGAGTGGATGAGCAACAGTATGTAGGCTAAGGAAAAAGCGAAGGACTATTTTTAACTATGTTTACTTTTAAAAAAGATGCGGAGTTTCTTTCTTCTACAGATGAGCTTCCGTCCCTGTGCTCCGGATGATGAAGTGGCAAGTACAAGACAGTGAGCGAAGACTACTAACGTGGGCAATCCACTGGGCGAGGAAGGTGGCAAGTATGGAAAACACCATGAACAATATCGACAATGTCTCATTCAGATCTGCAGTGAAGACATTACAAAACTGCATTCCAACCTTCGCTTGGTGATCGATTGTAGGTCATCTTCAGATTGCGCTGTTACGATAATGTTACGTGCCACTGATTTTGTTGGAGCTCGGCATTCGGCCTTACGGTGTTGCTACAGCTGCTAAAAATTGGTACAGTTCATGATCGGCAGCAGTACCTGATGTTTTGCTCCTGCCTAACAATACCTACCTGCGGCTGGACTACCGGTTACCACGAAACTCGTCGATTAAATAGACTTTCTTTTCACTATAATTAATACTTTTACTATTACTACTACCGCTATTGCGAATAGTACTTCTATTAGTAATAGTACCAGTAGAAGTGAAGTAGTTGCTAGAGTTAGTATGACTCGTCTTTCAAACTCTTATCGATATTATTGCTAGTACACGGAAATTTGATTACAGTATCTCTATAATCTTAGTAGTTGCCAATAGTTAGTCGACGGGACGGTATACTTATAAAGCACAAAAAATGTATTCATCAGCTGTATGGAACAAAAATTTTTAAAGTTACAATCAACACTATTTAGGTAAAAAAGTAACAGTTAACAAAAAGTGATGCTCTAACATCTGGAACCATCTGTAGATGCTATAACATTCTGTTGAAAGCCATGTTTCAGAGAAAACCTAATAAATTCAAAAAAAGATTCCTATTTAGAATGAGGGTTAAAGAGTTAAATTTTCCGACCTTAGCCTAATTTTGAAAAAAGCACCATGCTTCCGGCTCCATACGTAGCATCGTGGAGATGATTGCATGGATATTTGGCCCATACAACAACAACCGAGTTAGTCGTTATACCGACCTACCGAGTTATCAAAGCAATATTTCAGTCTTTCTAGAAAAGTTTGGTATTAATTAGCTAAACCTGAAGGGATGGTGCCCTGTCTACGTCGGAGCGCGAGACTGAACCAAAGACCAGATGTGCATTTAACAACACCTTCGACCACTGTGTAACACGTTACCCTTTCCCTTTTGTGCTATTCTTCCATTATTTCTTGTCAAGGTTTCATTACTTCGGCTTTCTCACCTCGAACGCAATTCAAGCACTATTGAAATGGATCAAGCGTCATTTGATTTCGTTGCAATTGTCGTCGATAGAATTGGTGCTACTGAAGGCACTTGTCGTGCTCAACATAGGTAAATATTTTATAGCGCAGCTCATGAATTGAATATATTCGCTCTAAGTCTCACCATAATTGGAAACCACCATATTGAGCATATTACGTAGAATACAACCACAATGCTGGGGTATTTAGAAAACTCCGGAACACAGCTGTCTATAGCGGGAATCGAACACGCTATTGACTTTCAGGAGGTAACGCGTTCACCATTACACCATTTGGGCCCTTTGTTTCGTCTTTCTTTCAGCTAGTTTCTTAACGACGCTATCAGCAATCATCCGTCAACGGGATTGGTCTGGGGAGCACAAATTGGCATTGAAAACAGTTAAGTTAAGGCTGTACTCAAAATCGCAATGTTAACTTTTAATTTACTCCCTACTACAAATTTTCACTGTAGGGTATTTTGTGAAATACAATCTCCTGGAAAGAGTAACACTGTGTTCGATCTCCACTACAATTTCAGCATCATAGTGGGTGTGTTTCTCGTAAGACCTTGTATTGAAAAATTCTAGTAGATGGTAAATAAAAGCTGACGCTGAGTGTAACGATTCCATCTTCTCAAATAAGCCAAACTATAGTCCTAAAAGATCAAACTTTTGACCAATCGACCAGCATACCATTAATTAAGGTGATTTGCAGGATTTTTCTTCGCGTAAGCCATTTCTGAGACTAGTTTCTCTCTTAACTTCAAATATGAACAGGAAGAGAAGCCGTAATTATAATTTCTGGTCTGACAATGGTTGTTGAAGTCAGTGAGAATAGAAGATCAGCCTGAGTTTTTACCTTTTTTTCTGCACAAGAAAATGTTTAAATGAAAACAGGAAATGAATGATTCAGATGCCCGAAGTCTCTCATCTGATGGAGAAGCAGCAGCGAGGGCGTTACGCGACAGCGTTCTTTCTGTGCTCTATCGCCACTGCATAGATTACGGCGAGCAGCAAAAAACAGCTGCTCGTCTCACCAAAATTCTCTTGTCGCTACCACAACTGCATGTGTGACGAGTTACATTATACTAGTTATTTTGAGTTATTAATTAAAGGGCTGATTCGCTGTGTTCACCGATGGGTAAACATTGATGGTATTTTGACAGATCTCTGGGAAGAGACGCAATAAGTTAAATCGTCCATGAGTTCTGTAATAGATGAATTACTGTGGTTTTCTTTATAGCTAGATATGACTTACTGCTGTAAATACTGCAGCTAATATCTACTGGAGTAGTGGAACATCAGAAGATGCTCCCACAACCGATTTTCTATTAATCTCGGCATTGATCAGGTAATTCTTCGTATTCTTGTTGAGCAAACGCCAGGTGTCATTTTTATTCTTTATTCACCAATAAGCTGACGTTTCGGCGGATTTCGCCTTCCTCAGAAGATGCGCACATTTGTGCTACCTTGCGAGCTGAATCCAATTCTGGTTCAGTTATTCGGTGATATCTTAGCTGATGGCAAAATTGATGGGTCACAACTCACTTGAAAATTCTTTGTAGATATGCCAATGTTTTGACGTTTTTCATTGCGGAACGTCAAAACGTCAACCAAATAAGGGGTTTACGTAACCTCGTAAAGGCCTATCAGTTAAGAAACTAGATGTTTCACTATTTTTCAGCCATTCTGCTTCATGCAGTCCTTCATCCAGTGCGATGAGCAGTTGACTAGTCGACGTCGAAGAAACGGCGCGGTCTTTCGTAATCTTCATAGAAGACCCTTTGGTCATAACTTGTTCCATGTGATCAATCAATTTGATGAAATAAAATTCGTAGTTTGTAGTTAAGCTTCGTGAATGAACTCTGTGCAGTACTGTTAACCTTTTATTTTCTGCCTACCATAATTATAGCAGGCAGGAAATAAAAGGTTAATATTGTGATTTCGGCTACAGCCTCAGCTTAACTGGGTTCAATGTCGACTTGGGCTCACTAGATCAATCCCGACGACGGGTGATTGCTGATGCCAGCGTTAGGTAGGAAACTAGCTGAGTGGAATGCATGCTTTTTCCTATCCGGGGCTTCCGTGGCGAGCTCCCGGAAAGACAAATCGTGGTTGGATCTGACCCCGAAGTTTTGCGAATATCTCAGCATAGTTGTGGTTGTAATTCACATCTGTACAGTAATATTTATCCTACTTAGAACAATACAGGTGACTGAAGTTACGGATAAAAAATTTTCCATAACCGCTGCTAATGTTCAGGTTTCACAGAAATTTCGTGGTAGAGTTTAGAAAACTACTTATTAATGTGCTGAACGAAATCATGCTTGTTCAATCGCCTCAGTGGAAGATTCATGAGTATCCGTGGTTCGTGGGCTGAAGAAACTTAGAGCACCTCGTAGTGGCAGCGTGCATAGATTTACATCTCGTTACTAAGAGGATGTATAGATTAAGAATGGCTCATTTGCTTAGAATTAGTGAAACGTAGTGTTATAGCCTGAGAAATGTGTGTGTTGGCCATAGATGGCACAGGGTTGTCGCTTAATTGTTCCACACAGTTCCTGAAGAGAAATGCTGCTTACTGTTTAGTGTTTCCATAAAAAACGGCAGGGACGGGGACTGCATGAGTTCAGGTACGATATAACTGGTTTCTTGTAGTACTTGTAGAGACGAATATATCGGCTAAACGGGCAGACTTTTATGTATCCGCATAAAAGAACGCCTAGATGGCAAACGAAAATTAAAACAAGGAACGCCACTAGGTACGCATAGGTTTGAAAAACATAGCGGTGAAGATTTTGATGTAAAAGTCGCTATCCTCGCGCGGGAGACTAAAACACCAACGCGGAAATTTCTCGAGGCTTTTTAGATAAATTCCAAAAATCCGAGAATGAATATCAGGGGAGAATGCCCTGACACAACACGTGATCTAGCCCCGTATCTCAGAATTGATTTTTGATCTCGAGAGGTGCAGTAGACAACAATATGCGACTCTAAGCGGCTGTTCTTCCTCGGTGGAAGGCATGTAACAAACGGTGGGTTTTTCGAGAAGCTATTGACCATGTGACTACCATTTAGATTCCCATCTTTCTGTATGTGTTATTGAAGCGTTTGGTCTAGTAAATTGTATATCAGTATACTCTTCAAGGCTCTAAAGAAAGTGATTCTACTAAAACGTCAGCTACGATTGTGTTGTACGTGTGTTATTGTATGGAAGTAAACGTATGCTGTTTAGCAACCTCGTGATTGCTGTAAAAAAGAAAACAGCAGATTTATAAAAAACGTCGTTTTAAAGAAGCCGAATTAGGATATTACTTTCTTCCCTTATTCTTCCATATATTCTTCCTTCGTGAAAAAAATACTACTAACCTTCTTCCGCTAACGTACAGCGTTTAACAAACGAGACATGGCCATGCTAGAAAATTCCTTTTTCAATTTATTACTTACTGAACAAGAAATATTTGGGAGTGAGAGCTAAGACCTTCTATTAATGTGTAATTTAGCCTAATTTTATAACTGAGTGCTAAAGTCATACCATATTTTAGCTATATTCTAGGAAGGGTTTAGTGCTTTCGTTATGTTCACTGCAATACATATAAGGTCTTTGTTTCTATCTTGCATTTCGGGAAAATCATGCTTTACAACTTCTCAGGGTCAGATAATTAGTATCGGAGTTTTCTGGAAAGATAAAAAAAGTTCTCTGAACATTGTTAGGTTCCGGCAAGCCATGGTGCAGACCTAATATGCGTTTAATCACCTCTGTGATGCCGCGAATGAAATTCAATGCATGGCGCATCCCTCGACGATCAATCAACGCCGAATCCGCTATACTTTATCTTTTACAATATTTTCTTGTAGTATAATATCGTGTTACAAAGTTTTGTGCGAAATCTTGTAAATACAAAACAAATGCACATTTTATATTGCGTCATTTTTTGTGAGCAATTCTTAAAATAGTATTTTTCATAAGGAACAGTTAGTGCAGTGGTAGTGGTCTCGTTCATTACACACACCACGGAGCCTACTCACGTCTTAGTTCGACTCCACTATCCGCCAACTATTCTTCTCTTTCTCCGTGGTCGAAAAATTGGTAGTATAGCCTGTACAAGCTCTATTCCAAGAGGGAATGCCGCACTACTGCTATCTCAGGATTGAAGGCAGCATCGACCCAATCAGCATTCAGCGGAATTCGTTACGAAGACGAAAAGATCCCCAAACATCAGCTTAAGCCAAACGCAAATAAGGTTTGAAAGCCGTCGTAGATAGTGTGTGCAAGGAAACGAATGGAATGCAAGTGCTGAGATCCGCACAGTGTGTGTTATATCTGACGTTGGGTCATCCAATAATAGAAAAAAGTTAAAATATTTTTCACAACGGTGTCTTTATACCAACGGTATTTCAGCCACTGTATATATTGAAATAAACCTATTCGGAAGACCTCAGTTGAATAACTGAACTGAAATTCGCACTGAAACACATTTGGCGGAATCAATAAGAATTCGATTATTCGGATCTATAAAGGAACGGTAACACAGTAGTCAATATTAAAATTGCATCGCTTAATAGTGAAGATACTACGCCGTACCCTAAAAAACCTTAAAAACAGAATATAATGAGCCTCTCACGGAAGCTTTGGACGCGTCACAGGAACGAATGGAGACCTTACTGCTCGTACGAGTCATTCGACAATTAATGTCGAGCATATCAATGTAAGTGTAAGCATAATAACCAATGGTTTTAAAATGTTGTTTGCTTATTGATCGATTCAGAATGGACGTCTTTGTTCTGCATGTATCCGAGCAAAAAGTTCTACAGTGTTCTCATAGCGAAAGAATTTCTACTTTTTACGAAAAACAGTATGAAATCTTTAGCAACATCTTTGACCACCTTCATCCAAAGCTTAACGCCATGGCCTATGCTCAATTACTGGTAACTTTTTTACAATCGCTAAAAGTTGCTAGCCATCAAGAAATCGATATTCTTCCTTACAGAACGGAATTATGCAATTAAAAAGTTCGCAAAGACAAGAGATGAAGATGGATTCACATCATGGCATCGTGTAAGAGCGAATCTTCGCTGTGTTTCTTAAGAGAATTCTAGTAATCTATTTTTATTTTTTTCTATAATTTTTAATCAATAACAACTATTCAACATTATTTGCTAATTCGCTTGTATGACCAGACGTCGTATAATATTCAGATCCCGGCACTTCCTTTATTCGGTTTTTTCCTCACCCAACGAAGTCTTCGGGTTTCCGTGCGGTCTACCTTGCCACTTGAGGACTTTTTCTTCATGAATAGCTTTGAGTGCTGGTCGACTTTGTTTTTTCACGAAATATTTTGACAGCTCTACTAGAAGTTTCCTAGGTTTTCACCACAGAGGTAGTTGCTTACTGGTTCCCATTTGCCCAAACAAGAGGGATGGAGAGCTTGGTTAGCTCAGTGAGTGGTCGTACTAGCGACCGTTTTGTTTCCCGCGATCCAGGATTGACACAAATGTGTATAAATACACTGAAAGTAAAAACTACAAAGTAAAATTAATCCTCTTTTAAAAAAGGTGTACTATCAACTGTTGAGACAGTGATTACGAATTCGAGCTATACAACAGCAACTTTGGCCGGTTAGATGATGCGTTTTAAACAATTTCGAATAATAGTGCAACAGTTCTGAGACTGTAAAGTGACTGCACAGTGAAATTTCTTAATTTGAGAAAAGATTTTTTGAAAGTTGATGAACGCTAATTATCAAACGAACTACATAACAACTTTGAGGGACAAGTGTAGCGCACCCACAACATCTATGTTGAGTAAGCAACCGAATGATTGCTAGAAGCACACGAAAACAGTTCTGCGCTCCAGATGACTGCTATATGGATTATTTATTCGCGCAGGTGTTAATGAGGTACGTTAAGAAGGTTTTTATCAAAAAGGCCACTATCAAAGGCAGTGGGATTTGACTGTAATGTGACTGTACAATGAGGACAGTGCACTAGTGCAAAAATAATGGATCAAAGCTCGACATTACTAAACACAAAAACTCGCGACATTAATTTATTAGATAAATTGAAATGACAAATCATCTGCATCACGTCCCGTCCTTCACTGGATGACTCAAATACTAACAGCAATAAAGTCTCTAATCTTCACACTGCATCTGTCAAAGTTTCCCAGGCACTTTTCTCATGAAATACAGGAATGAAGAGAAACCGATAAGGAAAAAAAGGGAAACCCCTGACGGCTCTTTACTTCCATCACTCTCTGTGAAATATGATGCTTATAACCCCATATTACTGGTACGAAGTTCACATAAAAAAGGGAAGCTGAGAATTCAAACAAGATTACATTGAGTTTTTCTTTTAAGCTTTAGATCTTGATAATGAAAAAATCAGTTACTTTGTACAAGCTGCTTCGAAAGGAATTCTTGACGAACACTCGAATTTGGAAATAGTAGAAATCCTCGCTATGAATACTCCTGAATAAAGCGGAAAGATTTCGCATAGGAGCACTAATGAATAAAACTAACAATTAGAGCTTACCGACTTCTTAAGCAACTACACAGCTATTAAAGTATAAATGGGGTGGATAGTACAGTGGTAGTGATATCCGCCATCACGAGCATGATGCTAGATCGATTCCTCTCCGGACCAACCAGCCTGTCATCTCTCTGGGTTCGGAAAACTGGCATCGAACTTCTCTGGGGAAAAAATCACTCTCTACAATCCAATTGGGAACGCTCCAGCTTTGCTATCCCAGTGATCCAGGGAGATACACTCGACCAGAATTCTTCGACATTCAAAATGAAATGAAAATCCTCAAGCAGTAACCGAAGCCACATGCAAAAACTTGGAAGACCTTCGTGGACGATAGATGCAAAGAAACAAATTGGATGTGAGAAGTGCTGGGATCCGCACAGTATACGCGAAGACGGATCAAATAAAATAAAATAAAACAAAAAGTTAAAGTATAAACCAGACGTTTTGGATTTCACTTACTTAGTCCTAGAATTTCGTGACCCTCTCAAAACTCCACGGTCCACCACTATTATTGGATGTCCACGCTCAGCAATTTTTCTCTATAAACCTTTTTGTGCACATTCCACTTCATTCGTAAGATCATAGAGATAACTGGATACCTGTTTGACCTATCCATTGACTTCACTGAGTCTACAGATGTATCGAAGTGATGTTTGTTAACTCCCAGTCAGGTCTGGTACGCCTGGTCAGCATGGTAGAGCCATCGAAAACCTGCGTATTGCATGGTACCACTGACCAGTGCGCTGTATGCGCATATCACTAGAAAATGACTATCTTCCAAAATAGTAGGCAGTAAGTAAAACGATTAAGATTGTGATTATAACTAAAGCCTTAGCTTAACTATGTTCGTTGCTGATTTGATCTCTTCAGATCAATCCCGCTGACGGGTGATTGCTGACGGCAAAAGATCGATAGAACTAGCTGAGAGACAGACGAAACGAAGGACCCGCATGGTGTGGTGGTGAACGCGTTACTCTCCGGAAAGGGCAGTAGCGCGTTCGTTCCCCACCGCAGACACCTGCGGTACGGAGTTTTGCAAATATCTCAGCATCGTTGAAGTTCTCTTCCAAATAGTCTTTTGTCGTTTAAAATTATCGTATATATAAGCGAATGATTCAAACCAAATAAATCATTTACATCATGGACGAGTTGGCTTTTTCATGAGTGGTGGTGTTTCTTATGTTTAGGAAGAGAGAAAACCGAAACCGAGCACGTCCTTGACGTAGTAGAAACAAACAACTTTCCAATATTTGAACCTTAGACATTCGATGTTGCTGATAGCTTATCACAGACAACAGTGACACTCCTAACTCTTCTTATCAAATAGCGTGATAATATCACCATGTATATAGGAAACAACCAGATTTCGTTGCGTTTTCTGCTGTTTTCTTCTTCTTTCCTGTCATAGGTTGTGACTCGTTAAGCAACGAAACGGTTATTTGGAATTCTCGACGGCTTCGTCATCAACACTAGTGAAAACGCTAGTTGCTCTAATCGAACCACGTTCAGCTTTGATCGATCTCATCAAGACTAACCGGTTTTCTTTCCTTCTTTTTTTTCTTCATAACAAGCTATGTAAGCTTGCAATAGCCTCGCTATCGATTTACTTAGTAGTTAAACTGTGATACAAATATGTAGTCTACGGTACTTGTTTTTAATCGATGTCGAATGAGAACTTGTTGAGTGAACAACAAATCTGTTCTGTGAGTGAATCTACCCACTTTTTTAAAGTGTCTCGCACTTAATCCAATAAGTTGTGTCCAGCAAAGATTTGTCATTACCAGTCATCACCTATAAATCGATACCCTTGATTACTTTGAGGAGCGAATGATCTTTAAGCTATTCCTCAAACACTTATAATGATGAGCATTGATTGTTTTGTTCCATGTAGCAAAGTGTACTAGTCGGTCTACATCGACATTTACTAGATTCGAAAGCCATTTTCTTGAATGCCCCATCCAAAGAGGAAAAAAGGAATAAAAACAATCGCATAAAGTCGTGATGAACAGTTGATGTTACTCAGGCAACTGATGACTAATGGTGTTACTAAACATTTGAAAAACACGCTAAGAACGTTTTGTTGTGAATATGTTTCCTTTAAGATTACCGGCTTTTGGATTTGCATACGAGATAAAATTATCCACTGTCAACAATTCGCTAAGAGTTTGTCCGACATTGCAACAAAACATGCAAACATGCTAACCAATATCAATCATTACCTATATTTTATATGTATGTGTTACCTATGCATGTATATGACCGCTACAGTGTTTTCATGAACACGAATTCTCTCGCTTCTTTCAGTAGTAGCAAGAGAAGCGTAAAACTTAAAGGGATTTTTTTGTGAAGTCTTAATTTGATGCGCTGAGAGGCAAGAAAGTAGCAGGTGGCTACCAATTTCTAGTACTTGTTCATTCGGTAACTTAACTCATTTTTCCAGAGTTTTTATTCGTTTAGAATTTTACAAAGTTTCTTTGACATTCTTCCGACATCACTGTAAGTCCGATCCATCATCACCTACCAATGACAACGTCCACTGATATCCATTTTTTCACTCACAAAGTTGGCAGTACATTAATGGAGTCCATATAGATTAAACTGGACGTTCCTCCAAGATCACAATTTGTTTCCAATGTTATGTTCCCTAGCATTTGATGTTCAGTACTCCCAATGTGCTAATATCCGGATGAGTGTAGCACAGCGGTTAGCAAATTTTCACAATGCACACATTATTTTTGGCTCGATTCCGGGCCCTGTATAAACGAGACCATCCATTTATCTAGGAACGGCAAATTGCAACCGAAGTTCTGTGCGAGGACAAGACAACACTCACTTCCTATATTGCGGTAGGTCCCCATTAGTCACTGAACAGACCGGATATGCATTCAAAAACTCTGCGACATAAAGAATGCAGCTGAATGCATGTGCTCTATAAAAGGGCACTACCGAGCGAGATTAATTCATTCGAACGGTGCTCCACTTCAGAAGATTCGCTGGATACGACTGCGAACACCGACATCCAAGGGATGAATGATTTCGACTTCGAAGAAAGCGAAGGCGCCGAAACCATAAAATTTTCCACAACAACGTCATGTTGAACAATTTTCAATACGTCTTGTTGGCTTATTAGTAAAACAATACATAACATTCACTGTTCCACAATAGTGATCGGTTATTGTCTCGACGGCTTCTGCCTTCTTCAGAGCCTGAAGAGTCAAATCTTAGCTCTTTCCCTAATCGTACTTCTTTTCCAAGACAAGTTGTCATTGATCGATCCCAGGCCACAATTACACCACCCAGCAAGCTATTCCTGGCTGTTTTTCCGCCAAAAACGGAATTATTCATGTTACCTGAGAAAAACATCTATCCTCAATTCTAATTTTTGTATTCTTCCGCTGGCTGCAGCCCACAAAATTTCGTTTCTGTCATTTATTTTTTCTTCCTTTTTCATTTCCTTTTGAAACAAAACGCAACAAAAGTATTGTGAACACACAATAAGCATTCATATCACTCCTTAACACTTTCCCATTGCCTATCGAAATCACAAAGAAAAGATTGTTTCTTGGAGACTAGAAGATAAATAATGAAGCTCTACAATTGTAGAAAGCATGAAATTCTCTTTTTTTCATGAAAATTCCACGTCTTGAAACTCTAACCGGTCTTTAGTTTAGAAAAAAACAACTGTATTTAAGAGATGTCACCTTCGTCAGTTGGCCTTATCGACATTCTCTTTCACCCATGGGATCTTGAAAGGACCGATACTTTCATGTCAAATTGGATTTCAACGTCATATAAAGTAAATACCTTCACATATTATTGACTAGTGTGAAAAAATAGATCATGAATTGTGGATCCTGAGAAAAATCAATAAACGCCAATGGGGATGTTTTTTAAGGAAAAAAGAGAAAGGGCTGAAAATTACTTCATTTCAGATTACAGCAGCATATTTATTAGCAATTTATTTGGGCCAAAAATTTATGCGAAGCAAAAAACCTCTGGAATTAGATGGAACGTTGGCAATGTGGAATTTTATGTTCTCGCTATTCTCAGCTGTAGCCGCTTATAATCTGGTTCCTGAATTATTCGAAACGCTGCGAAACGATGGCTTTGTGGGTGAGTATATACGATATCTGTTATAAAAAACAAATATAGTATCGTTTAATGAATGACGCATGTAGTGCAGTGGTTAGAATTGCTCTGCAATACACACAGTCTTCGGTTCCTTCCCACGCCCGGACTCAATATGCCTTCCATCCGACCAAGCTAGGTAACTTGTTGTTAGGCTCGTCTGAGATGAGTCCTCTCTGATCCACATAGGATGATGCTGTAACCTGCAGTGATGGCCTGGGAGTGCCATCGAATCCCAGCATCTCAGGAAGGATCTGCTAGACCAGCATTTAGCCAAATTTATAATGAAGATGAGAAATTCTCAAGCAGCAGTCGAACCTAAACGGAAGTCCGATGACATTCGTGGATGACGGATACGAATGACTGAAACGAATGAAAAACGTGCTAGCATCCACACGATACCTGGTCTTGTAAAAGACGAATTTCAATTGCATTCATAGAAAACTTATGTTTGAAAGAGAAACATTTTAATCTTAACCCTTTTATTTACTGCCTTTTTCTTTTTAATGGCAAGGTATGTTGCGAAATATAACTCGTATATAATGCTGAGATATTTGCAAAACTCCTGATCGCATAAACTTACGGTCCGGAGTTTTGCAAATATCTCAAAATTATATACGAGAAACATTTTAGTCATATTTTCTGAAAATTTACGTATGATTTTTCTTTCTAAAAGGCAACACCAATTAAAAATATTGGCACACATAATTTCGAAACCGACCGTGATCTAACTTCAATAGTGAAATAAATGGGCGCGTATGCCGCGGTTGTCGAAGGTGTTCTGCAACACATGTGGAATCGATCCCGGCGCCCATGGATCCACTAAGCCTTCCATTCTTTCGAGGTCGGCAAATTGGTACCAGACCCGCTGGGGGGGGATAGCAGCACTGGCTCGATACATTGGTAGTCCACCGCGAATCATTGTAAAGACCAGACATGCATTCAATGAACTCCAAAATGAAATCGAATGCATGGCGCATCCCTTAGGAATTGATCAACACCGAGAGCTTAATCCTTTATCCTTTAGTGAAACAATCAACATGTATTTATATGTGAGCTCACACGAGGTTGATAAAGGTGTCTATCGGGCTAACGTTTCGACGTCTTGATCTTCACTAGAACCGGTGATCCGAGTCGATGACCTACAGTTGTTCTTCTCGACGTGGTTGCTTCGTCTTCGCCTCGATCTGGAAGTTCCTCAATGAACCCTCTCTCGAATGAGTCATATTCACTCAGCGATGCTCTTTTATGCAGAACGGTTGTTGTTGATATTGTCATCCGTTGATAAGAATTTGTTTTTCAACTGATAATCTACCCTACAGCAGTCGGCATCACGTTAGCAAGGACATAGCAAGCGGCAAAACATATTTCAAACCGACCGTAATTTAACCTCGGTAGTAAAATAATCAACACATGTTGGTGTTAAAATATTGTTTTGCTATTCTCTACGTGCTAGCTAACATAATACTGACTGCTGCGGGGTGGATTATCCGTTGAAAAACAAATTATTATCAACGATTAACAATAATATCAACAACAACCGCCCTGTATAAAAGAGCACGGATAAGTATAGCTCATTCGAGGGATGCTCCAATAACGAAGATGCAGATCGATGTGAAGACGAAGACGCCACATCTAGAAGAACAACTGTGGACCATCGACTCGGATCATCGGTTCTGATGAAGACAAAGACATCGAAACGTTAGTCTAATAAACACCTTTATCAACTTCATGTAAGCATGAATGGAAAAAACTTCGAGAAGAATCTTTTGCTACCGAAGGATAAATCTAAATCAAATTTTCGTTCATGAACGCCGTACTAAGGAAGGAAAACAGATTTTGCGTTGTTTATGATTTTCCTTAGACCACTTAAATTAACTCACTAGTTTCTAAATTCCTTATGATTTTTAGAACCATAACCTGCATCCGTGGAAAGATCTCTACAAAAGAAAATTTAATAATAATATTACCATTATTTAGTCGACCAAACCAGCTCCCACACTCGCTCTCGTTATCGATCAAACCAACTAACTCACACCAACCATATTTCTGCTTAGATTTTACTATTATTCTTCCATTTTTACTAATATATATGCCCATTTTTCTGTTTCGTTTTGTGACAAAACTACTGACCAAATCTATATATAACGTTTGTAATGTATTGATTTCAACGCATACAGTGGCTACAACAACGTCAGCCTGGAAGTGGAATGTCGCATATCTCGGCCCGTAGAAAACGTTTTTAGTTCAAATTTGAAAAAAAAACAGTTTGAATTTGCAGATATTTGCTAGTGAAATATCGATTTTGCTATTACACCAAATTAAAATCCTCCCAACGGTTTCCCGCCTCATTGTGGCTGGTAGGTGTTCCTGGGTGACGGAGTGCGATGTACAGCGGGCGGATTCGTCTACCTCAGCAGAGTATCCTAAGCTGAGAGGAAGTCCAGAGTTTCTATCAGGAAGCATAGCTAAGAGTAAACCAATACCAGGATCCACCATCGTCCTGCTATCAAAGTCGTATGGTGGTAAATCTCCCTCTGATCCACAAGGGCTGCGACTGCCCGTGGTGGTGTTGACCTGGGGCACACTTTGGTCAGGCTGACCTCGGGATTCCAGGGAACCACAGTGGCTTAACCAGCAAATCTCCGAAAAATGGTGATTATGCTGGGACCCACACAACCAGTGAAGACAGGCCGTTCAAGTATCAGGTATCAAATACCAAATTAAAACCCTTGTTTTTAAATTCTTTTTTTTTTCTTTTTTTCCCGTTTTTTTCATTATAGTTCCTATTTGAAACACGAAAACCGGCATCGAGAGTGTTAATCAATTGAACTTGACCTTTTCATAGACCTTTAAGGAAACACAAAGAACAATCAGGCCTCGATCACCTCATAAGTGGTCTTTTCATTGACGGAGCAGATAGGTCTAATCAGCCCATACTGAGTGTGGTGAGACAACATCACTTCCAACCTCAAACATTCGATTATCGATCGACTAAGTCAAGAACACAAATAATTCTATTAAAATACTTCATTTTAAAGAAAAAGTTCTGCAGAGTGCAAATTAGCATTACGTAATTCGACAACATGAAAAGAAACTATATTGAAGTATAAATAATGCTCTTTACAGAGTGGTAAGGAGAACTCAGATCAACTAAAATTTGGTGTAGCGAGACCGATTGGATTAAACTTTAAAGAAATAATGAAAAAGCGATTAACGGATATAGGCAGCATCTGTTTCATCGCGAACACCAAAGTGGTCCCGAAACGTATTGCTACAGTAACTGCGTCATGACCTTGGTTGCTAAACAGTAATGGTGTGACACATAAATTTAACACTATAAGCTTCATTTTGTAATGAATCAAAAGGCAGTATTTACATATTTCTAGGTAGCTACTGCAATAACAACAAATTCTATACGGATGCTTCAACAGGTTTCTGGGGATGGGCTTTTGTGATGTCTAAAGCTCCTGAACTTGGTGACACAATATTCTTAGTTCTCAGGTAATCTGATCTTCATCGAGTACCATAGTTCAGAACAAGATGAGAACCGCACAACCTAATTTTCTTTCTTAAAGTTTATTCACTTACAGTTACTGTTGCAGGAAGAGGCCAGTAATCTTTATGCATTGGTATCACCATGCTCTAACATTTGTCTACGCTGCTATCACATATTCAGAACATCAGGCATGGGCGAGATGGTCACTAGCATTGAATCTAATCGTTCATACCATTATGTATTTGTAAGTTCTAAGTCACTTGTCATAGTTTATAACCCCACCGTGGCCGGTGGGTTTTTCTGGGTATCAGAATTTAATATACACCGAAAAACTGCTCTTCACCATATGAGATGGTATAAGCTTGATAGTTTTATGCCTGCAGCTGGAAGCTCAGTTCATAGTAAACCAACTCTATATATTCTAGAAATATCAAAAGGTGAGGAATCTTCCTTCGAACCACAAAATCCGGTGATTGTCTAACCAGTAGCATTGTAACAAAACAGAAGAATTGCTGGAATACGCATGATTACTAGCAAAAACATCAAATTCGATTATCTAAAAAAGCTCGTGAAATATTGACTTGTGAAGGTGCAATAAAAAGAAAGTGAAGAGACGAACGAAATCCATCTCACTCAACTATAGCATCAAGTGTCGATGCAACGGGATTTTGCAACATTAATGTGCAAGTTCTATGAACACTGTTCTCATAGGAAAGTACTACTTTCTTATAAGCCAGTGTTTTAAAGCCTTTTAACCAGATCTTCACAAAAGATCTCGGTGCTCTCCGAATCTCGAGCAGCAGTGATTAAAATGCCGTTAAGAGATACATTAACGCAGTATTAGAATCTAGTGTCTCTCCTCCAAACGGTTTACCAAGCCTCATCGTAGCTGCGATGTGTTCCTGTGTGTCGGGCTGCGATTTACAAGGGGGGATCCATCCCCAGCGAACCCTCTCAAGCTACGGAGTCCGGCGTTTCCATCAGGAAGCCCAATTATGAGTAAACGAATGCCAAGATCCACCACCGTCCTGGTATCAAACTGGCCGCACAGTGACAAATCTCCTTCTGATCCACAAAAGTGGTCGCCTATGGTGGTGACGACCTCGGGCAGACACAGGGCATGCCTGACCACAGGACCCCAGAGAACCACAATGGCTTAACCAGCAAAACTCCAAAAAAAACAAAACGGAAATCATGCTGAGACCTGCATAATCAGTGAAGACGGGCAACCCAAGTATCCAAGTGTTCCTCCTATGGGTAGACGAGGGGAGTACCAACATTACCGTAGAGGAACCAAATTAGATAAGAAAAAGTTTGGCACTGAAAGTTCTCCTGATACACGAGAACTTAAACATATTCCTCGGTTGCCGATTTATAACAATTCACGGGTACTACAAAATCACTTGTTACTACCGAGGAAAAACTACCGCAGCAACAATCGATAACCAACTCGCAGTGAAATCAACTCATACGAAAGGGCGTGGCACCTCACAATGAGATTTTTGTCATTTACGCAATTAAAAGAAGACTTCTTCTATGAAAGCAGAAAAGCTGACTAATCTACCAAACTTCATACCAATTTTTTCCACTCAGCTACTTCGGAGTACGCGCTCTGAAGATCGACACTCCACGACCGGTGGCCAAGTTCATCACTACTATCCAGATTGTCCAATTCGTCATAAGTTGCTATATCTTTGCTCATCTCATTATTATCAAGATGTATAATCAGATTCCGGACTGCGCTGCCAGGTAGGAATTTACTTCAATTCATATAATAATCCTATTCAAATTATCATTAACATTTCTCTGCTTCTCATCCATACTTTTTCACATTGTTGTGAGGCTTCACCTCATCCTATTATCAGCGGATGGCTAAGTACACAAAAATAAGCCTACTGTTGTATTGAGGAAAAACTCCCTCTCAACATAGACATTCCAATAGTGCATGCGCTGCCTTGCAAACCAGTTAAAATGTGATCTGTCAAAGCGCAGTAGATAGAAATTACAGTTGGAACGTCTTGTCAATCGGAGGTCTCATGTATCTCAGCTATCTGTACTTATTCGCTGAGTTCTTCTACAAAGCCTACATCAAGAAGCGATCACCCACAAAAAACAAGTCCGACTGAAAGATCAAATTTCAGACAGTGTCTATAATTGCGTAAGAAACTTCATATTTCATTGAAATAAAATGTTGTCCGATTTTAAAACGATACAAACAAACACTGAAGGGTCAGAGAATACAATACTGAAACACTGTACATAGTAGGAAAAAAATTTTTCAAGACAACTTTTAAGCTTAAGCTTAACCATATCGAACAGAGATATAGAAAACAAGAAAAATTCATAGGAGTGAGTTCCGGTTGGAGGTAAGACTACTCCTTAAACTTCATTTTCATTCACTAACAAATTTGGTATACCGTCCTTGATGGGGAACTTTCGACCTGTATCCGGACATTCAAGCTCGCCATCCACGATTTCAACACATAACATTACTCGGTGTAACTGAGAATGACTAATATATGACATAAATAAAGAGATAAACTAATATCCGGTATAATTCCGGAATAAACTGCAAGTAATAGGCTGCATTGTTATCAAGTTACCAGCTAAAGTACTGCATGTTGATAATGTTGACATATTAAATCTTCGAAATCTTGCAAACAACGAAAACTAAAAACTTCACCAGCCTCATTTTCTCAAACAAGGCCGTCCTACGGTGACTTATAGAGGGTGATTTACGTTAATTCTTACTAACCCTAGAACAGACCACATCTAACCTCCATCAGAACTGGTACGTTCGTCTCCCAGTCCTCTGGTAAAGTTGCGGGCATGTTTCCAGCCTCTCCAATCGATAAAGCTGCATTGTATAATGAAGCGTAGTCAACCTGCAACATGAAAGGCCTCTCTTGAGTGAATCTCCTCCAGATAGTTTTATTTTAAACTCAAAAGTGAGCAACTCACCGTTGAGTTTAAAATAAACCTCAACTCAAAGGATAAGGTGTACTCAAAGTATACCTTAGGCATCATGTTAAGCACAAATTTCTCGTTAAACTCCACTTCTTTGTTTGCTTTTTGGTTCGCCCGAAGAATCAAAGGATACCCATTGACGACGTTCTTCAAAAAACGTGACGATAGAAAGTTGTGCGTAAGGAGCTTCATCTCCTGGGATCACCTAAATTCTGATGACCCTTTGCTTGAGGATCAGCATCAGACAGCACTACGAAGAACACAAAATACTGGAGAAATATGTGAAATTGCAGGAGACATCTGGACGAACATCAACAGCTTAACTCAACTTTTAACTGCTTCATTTAGACATTACATCCTGCATCCATTACACATAATAGAGGAAGGTTAGATAACCAGTAGATCAACGTCCAATGTACATCTACATTTCGAGTGCGGGATAAACATATTACCTTTGGAGCGATGATAGTAAGAGCACAATAGATGAGTAGTTTTGAGGTGTAACATAGTCCACCATTAAATAGTGACAGAGTCGAACTTAATTCACAAGAAGTCGGATGGAAAATACCATTTCTATACCCGTATGGTGACAAAGTGCGCTAGAGACACCCCCAAATCCTAGTTGTTACTAAAATAGAAAAATAAAACATGTACCATCTGACAACAGATATGTTATACATGCAAAGATGTGTACATTGGATAAATTAATCCTAATGACTGCACATTGAAAGCAAGTAACTTTTCCCTATAGATAAATTTGCTTTACATGAAAGCTGAACGACATAGTTAGTTTCCCTATCCTTCCTAACGTTCAAGAAAAATGTGATAGAGATAGAGAGAGAGAGAGAGATGGAGATGGTATAGAGATGACAGATATGACTTACAAAGTCTTGGTTAGTACTCTCTATCATTCTAACGTTCAAATAAATTGGTTTTTACTATAAAAAGTTAAGTATTAAGTGAGTGTTGAAAATCAATGGAAGCCAATACTGGTACAAAGACCTTGGAACTTATGACACCTAGCTAACAAGCGAGTGAAGTTGGTATGCAAACAAGATTTCCAACATACAAAGAGAAAGAAACAAAACAGTTACTTATCCTAACGACAGAGGGAGATGGTTGCTAGTATTCCTAGTCTTTCGACGTATCTTTGATCGGGGATAAATCAATCTCTCCAAAGTCATCAAGTGAATTACTATGTCCATCGAGATCACAACGTATCATGTCGTGAGTGTTATCCAAACACTGGCTCCCACTACTACGCTGAAACAAACTCAATAAGGAACAATTCAGGCATACAGTTATCACAAAGCACCAAATAATGTTAAGAAAAATGCAAACGCGGAACCATCAATGTGTAAACCCTCGAATATATTATATCTTACCTTTGTGTAGCCGTAAACTTACACAACTTTGCTATAAACTCTTTAGTCAAAGTTTCGGCGGGTTTCGCCGTTTTCAGAACTGCCGTGGTTCGAGTTAAGTGTCCACAGCCGTTCATTTTTACAACGTGGGTCTTCGTAGTCGAAATCGAATCAAATGGTGCTGCGCTCCAGAAGATTCGACTCGATACAACTACAAAGACTGATATCACAAGAATGAACCGCTGCCGACACTCAACTCGATGCACAGCGGTTCTGAAAAAGATGGTGTCAAAATGTTAGCGACAGTAAAGATTTGGTAGCAAATTCATGAATACAAAAATATCAAATACCCCGTTCGAGGTTAAACCAAAGTCCGCCTTCAAAAATATAATCCACTGCTACAGACGAATAGCTGCCAAGGCCAAATGTGTGAAAACTTGCCAAATCTTCCGAACTGCCATGAACTGGAGCGTTGTCACCTTCGTCGATGAACAAGCGGCGACGCAGTGATCCCACGCTTGAACCTGTTGCGTTGAAAACGGACTCCTCGTCGCATTCCTCAGAAGGGTTGTAAATACACGATGAACCTGAAAGTAATACAAAGCAGAATATACAACCTTTACAATATTTCTCTTTATTTAAAGCCAGAGAATTTGAAATTCAGCAGTTCGCTAAACATCACATAGAAAGGATAAGGACAAAGCCTTCGGCGTTGATTAATCCCTGACGGATACGCCATGCATTCGACTTCATTAAGTACCGTTGGAGGTGACTGAATACATACGTGGCCTTCACAATGACTCGCCATGGCCTACCAATGTATCGAGCCAATGCTGTTATCCTCTTAGACAAGTCTGGTACCAAATTGCCGACTCCGGAGGGATGGAAAGCTTGGTGAGCCTGTGAAGCGGGGAACGATGCCATGCGGATTGCACGGCGCCATCGACACTGCGCTCTTAAATGCATATCTGGCCTTCACAATGACTGGCGGTGACCCGCCGTTATACCAAGGCACCGCTGCTATCCCCCCAGACAAGTCTGGCACCAAATTGCCGACCGTGGAGGGATGGAAGGCTTGGTGGGCCATGGATACGCGGATCGATTTCACGTGTGTGTCGCAGTGGCGCCACCAATCACTGCGCCATGGTTTTTTGGGAAAGAAGAGAAAAAGATGAAGTAAAACCGATAAAATTACTTATGTTTATGAACAACATCCCATTTAGAAAAACAACACCTATCACTAATAGAAGAATATGAAGAAAAAACACTATAGGAAAAGGGAAATTCAACTGGTAAAACAGCTGAGAAATCCGGCTGGTTCGAAGTGTCGAAACAAGTTCCATTCCAGATAATCTCACCTGCAGCTAGTACTCATTCGTTGTGAAACAGAACTTTAACAATCGGTCTCCACCGTCGAACTCACACAAGAATGATAAACTCACCAAGAAATTTCGTAAAGTCGAAGAAGGCAGATGGAGCTATTGTGATTTCAGTCTGTGACTGTCGATTCCGAGCAGCCTGAACAACTGTGCTGCGACGAGATCCATTCAGATTCGGACGGGATTTTGGCGAAGACGTAGAATATTTCATTCGCATAGCCGCACTAATTCGGACGATATCGCACAATGGTGTTTCCGACGCGGCAGCCACAAGTGGATTCTGACAATGAGATGACGTCATACGGAAAATTAACTGAACTTTGGAAATAACATTCTTACCGTAACTGGCGCATCAGGTGATGGAATATGACAAATATTATTCTTCCAGTACTCGTCGAGAATAGACTGAATCTTTGCCTCATGCTCCGGATCCCTAAAGAATTGATTGGTGTTTGTATAGCACGTGGAACAGTGACGACTATTGAGTCATTTCGAGTCTGACCCATTGTAATGCAATACAAATGAAAAAGAAACATCCTTAACAAAACGAACGGTGACTGATTGCTTTGGGCGATTTCCTCCTCTGTGATATGCACGGGTTTGAGGATAGACAATTCCTCTATGGACCATTTAAATTCCTAAAGAAAGAAAGAAAACATAGAATTGCAGAATACTTGCGTATAAGAAGAACTACAATACCCCAGGTGATACTGGACTCTTAGTAGCAGCGAAAACACTAGGACTGAAGGTATTTGTATGAAGGGTTTCGAGTAGTCGACTTTCAAACGAGTTAGTAGACCGAGTATGAGGAGCAGCTTCTGTACTCATGTCCCTGAACATTAACCTACTCGTAGAAGGATTTGATTACGGACAAAATCTGCACAGAGAACGGAAATGATCACATTTTTTTCTTTACGGAACCATTCCGATTAGAAAACACACACCTCCCAACGGCTGACAGCCTCATCGTGGCTGGAACGTGTTCGTGGGTCAGGCGGAGATGTACAGCGGGCGGATTCAACACCAGCAGGGACTGTCAAGATGAGAAGGAATCCGGCGTTTCCATCAGGAAGCCCAACTAAGCGTAAGTCAATATCAGGATTTGCCACCGTCCTGGTATCAAAGTCGCAATGTGGCAAAACTTCCTCTGATCCACAAGTGCTGCGACTGCCTGTGGTGGTGAAGAACTGGGACAGACATTGGCTAGGCTGCTCCAGGGAACCACACTGGCTAAACGAGCAAAACACCAAAAAAATAGAAATTCGGCTGGGGACCGCGTAACTAGTAAGGATGGGTCATCCAAGTATCCAAGCGTTTAAGAAAATACACAAGAAGATATAAGAACAGCGCACCTTTCTGGAGTGGAAGTTCCGGGACGGTTATTCTCCTTATTTGAAGTGCCATCTGCTTTGCTATTCGAGGAAGGAAGCATACTTGATTCATCGTCCTGCTCGAAATTCATTCCATTAGTCCTATACCATTAGAAAAGTACAATGAAACTGCGAAATCTTACATTTCCACCATGTATTTCAGAAATGTCATTAAGAGGATGAAGGGCTTGACCTCGGCCACATTTTACTAAGGGACTCTCACCACGATATTTGTATTCAACCATCCGTTTGCTAAATACCGTTCGTCGCTCACCATCGTAAAAAATTGGCGAAAGTTTCAAATCTGGAAAATAGAGATGATTCCTCTCTACTAACAGTGAATAGCAGACTAAACAATTGTGCTAGAGAAACACATGCTGAAAATAAACAGAATCTCATAGTTAAAAGCAAGGAGATTCAATGCACATTACTAGGTTCTATGTTGCAATTACGGACATTTAAATTACTATTCCACAAGGCACTGAATACACATGGGATCCATTTCCACGTCCCACGTCCCGCGTCCCTGGCCCACCAAGCCTTCATTCTTCCTCGCCTTGTCTGGGAGGATAGCAGCAGTGGTCCGATACATCGGTAGGCCACGGCAAGTCATTGTAAAGTCCAGATATGCATTCATTCACCTCCAAACGATGTTTGGTGAAATCGAGTGCATGATGCATTCCTAAGCGATTGATCAACGTCGAGAGCCTTAGCTTTTTATCCACAAAAACAGGAATAGCCTTCAGGAACTACGAAACAATTGGAGCGGTGGGCTCATTTACTTCGGGCAACAACAAAATTCTGTGTACCTGGTTTTCTAGTGACAAGAACGTCTGACGTCTCCTCAACAGACAACAATGTGGTGCTGTTCAACTGGGTATAAAAGCGGTCTGAGTTACTGTCGCCCTCCAACGACAAGCCATTATCGTTTCTTTCCATCTGAAATGAGCAACATAAACCAAATGATCATCTAAAACATGAAGTTTCCCACGAACGTTGGGCTCCTGATGGGAAAGCGTCGTAATTTCTTAATGTACGGAAGAATGACAGCGCAATTCAAAGCCGAAATATGACTAGACACTACATTGTACCTTCAGTGACCACAATAAAATTGGCGAGCTCATCTCCACTTCATTTCGATTTTTCGGGTTTCAATTCATTTTTATTCGAAGGATGATTTCAAGAAACGAACTCTTAAAAGTTTTGTCCTACGTGGAACGCTAATGCGTCCACAAATACTAAGATTAGCCATAGAAGAACGAAGGTCCGCCATGGAGAACAATGAAATTGGAAAATGAGAAGCAAAAATTCGCCAACTACTGCAAGATAACCGTGTTCCAAGTCAAATTGATTAGAGCGCGTTTGCTTACACTGAGTTTTGGAAAATTTCCCTCATGAAGAATGAAGTTGCAACAAGAAAATAAATGGTTATGAGCAAGTTCATTTAACTAAGGGGTTCTGCAAAAAAAAGTTGAACTTACTAAATATCAGTGGATTCCTCCTGTTTTTTAAAGTACTAATGTATAATGTTTTGTTACAAAAGGAAAACTGCCAACTACCACGTCTGGATTTTGTTCACTGGTAAATCCGATGCAGTTTCTCTCTTTCATTTTTCCTTCGGTTTTCTTTTTAAATGGGTTACCAAGCCACCGTGTTAAATTTTGTATTATGGGTGTTCACCTGCAATAGAACACAAAGGTTTATCCAACAGCGGTAGCTCAAGTTGAGGAGTTCACTATTTCTATGCTTAAAACTAACCAGAAGAAAATCTGTGTAGACATTCATCACCTCTTCAAAAGAATCCTAGTCATAAGCCGATGAACGTCCCTCGTATCCCCAGTTATCTAACATGACAAACTGGGGAAGTGCTGACATCGCTGAGGGACTCTAAGCTAGAAAAACGCGTACGGCCGCCAGTAGTTATGCAAAGCGAGTTCCCTCCAAACTCTTTCGCTTTAACTGCATTAACTAATCCTATCGCTGAAAAGTTGTAGAGAAACTCGTCCAGGTAGTCTTCTTTTTATCGAGTAAAGTGGTGAATTGATCAAATAGTTGGCATTTACAATTAAATATTAGTCTTTCTCCTGTTTTTTAAAGATTCGAATATAACAATAACCTTACTGGTGTTCGTTAAAAACGTATAAAACCTTTAGCCGTTTTTTCCAGATTCGTAGCACGGTATATAAAGTTGATGTCTACGCAGAAATGGTCGATGGTTCGGATCTCGTTATTAGAAGTTCTTATTCGCAATACATTTGCGGTGAAACACTTGATGACAGATCGACTTGCTAGGAAAGAAGCAATGACGTGTTAAATGTCAGCTGACCCTTTAAGTTATAACCTAAGCAAGTCGTATCTAGGTTCAACTTGTTAACGAACGTAACTATAATACATTATTGCAACGACTACGGCTGTCAATGAACGAAATTTAAATAATAAAAAACCATCCCGCCTTTTAGATCGAAATTTCCAATGTATGCTAGACGATCTTTGGATAGGATGCGCAATATCTATATCGTAACGGAAACTAGTTCCATATCAGCCCAGCTGCATACAATCGTCTCATCTCAATGTTGTTTATCACTAACTTCCTTCAATGGTATCATCTGGCTGTAAAGGCGCTACATTCTATTTCATCTGTTTATCCTAACTGAAAGGGCGCGTGTGACGCAGTGATTGGAAGCGTCGCTGCGCGCCTATGGCCCACCAAGCCTTCCATCCTTCCGGGGTCGGCAAACTGGTACCAAACTAGTCTGGGAGGATAGCAACACTGCCCGATACGACGGCAGGCCACCGCGAGTCATTGTACACGCCAGATATGCATTTAATCACCTCCAACGATACTTAATGAAATCGAATGCATGGCGCATCCCTCAGGGATTGATCAACGCCGAGAGCTTTATCCTTTTTTATCCTAACTGATTGCTATGAAATATTACTCGGAGGTGAGGTATAATGCAGAGCACCGTCGATTTCTTAGATTGTTTTTTTCTTGTTTGGACGAGTATGTTTTATAGTTGATACTTGATACTTGAACGGCCCGTCCTCACTGGTTGTGCGGGCCCAGCATAATCACCATTTTTCGGAGATTTGCTGGTTAAGCCATTGTGGTTCCCTGGAATCCCGAGGTCATCCTGGCCAAACTCTGCCCCAGGTCTTCACCACCACAGGCAGTGTGGCAGTGCCCTTGTGGATCAGAGGGAGGTTTGCCACCATGCGATTTTGGTACCAGGACGATGGCGGATACTGGTATTGGTTTACTCTTACCCAGGCTTCCTGACGGAGACGCCGAACTCCGCAGCTTGGGAGATGCTGCCAGGGGATGAATTCCCTGCTGTACATCGCACTCCGACTCCCAGGAACACCTCACAGCCACGATGAGCAGGTAAACCGTAGAGAAGGTATGTTTTTACACAACAGTTATTTCACTTTTGCTGAAGCGTTAACGGACTTCACAGTCGTCTGAACGTGGATGAGAAATGCTGACAAATACGACATCAAACGCTTCCTCCAGCCTGCAGTGCACTGTGGTTAGAAACCTGTTAATAGAATGTGGTCGGGCAAGCTACTTGGTCAGTCAAATCGTTTCAGACTTGAAGGAAGGTGAAATCCACTGCAAGTTCGACCGCTTCTTTATGGATGTCCAACAATTTAAGAATATAGAGAAACCTATCCTCGTCTTATTAATAAGCTCAACTATTTTTGCGCTCGTCTTCCACACTTTGCTAGACTGATTACCACCGATATCGTTTCCAACGGTTTTATTTTCGGATGTCTGATATGTAATTTTGTTAGATAAGGCAGTACAGTTGTGGGAAGGTCGGATATTAAAGTTACAGGAATCCATTCTCGTTATCTTTTGAAACGCAAGATTTTAAGCCAGTGGAAACCCGTGAATGCGGTGTTGCTGCAGGAAATAACGAAGAGACCTATAAGAAACATTCAACTACAGCAAATCCACCGACTACTAGCTCTTCGATGCAGTCATCCTGAACTAGGTTGATATAATATTTGACGAGATCTTGTGAAAAGCTTTTGAAGAAAGCTCAATCCGATGGCTCATAGCAATACAGTACGGAAACTCCTTAAACTATCACTAGAGTGCAGAATCCTGCAACATATCAATTCCACCAGCTTGTAGAAACCTCTGATTAGGTTAGCACAATTGTTCTCGTACTGGCTGTAAACGAGCAGAAAAAAAACTGAAAACTATAATCTCTATCTCTCGTAGAAGCGGGGCCCAGTGGAAAACTCTGGAAAACGGAAAGTTATGAATAAAGCGGTTACTGCCACACGTTCGGGTTTCTCGATCATCAACGAGGGTAAGGATGGAACGCAAAGCCTGGGATAATCACAGCAAATTTGCAATTTTTTTCCACAACAAATGTGTTCGGTGTTACGTTGGTCATTGATTTTCTCACGGAATGTTTCGAATTCGGGTCAGGAGACGATCTCTTTGATTTCTTCATCCGTTGCTGGATAACTCCATTATGATGAGACGTCGGCGATCGGCAGTTCCCGGTTTCCATGGCCCGCGGTGAGCCCGGTTTCCCGTCGTCGCACGTTTAACATTCTCTTTGTCCTTTCTACTTAGCATGAAAAGGGGTGACGATGTCGAGGAGTGGATCTTTCGTTGATGACTTCGGACATACCAGGAGAAATCGATTTTTTTCCGGATATTTTTCACTTCTCGTGCAAAACTTGCAGCGACTTTATATTTTGTTTCCAAATAATTCGATATATCTCATTGCTAAAAAGCTTTTTTCTTCTCCCTTCTTCTTTTCTCCTTCTTTTCTTCTTTTTTCCTTTCCTTCTTCTTCTAAACAATAATTCTTCACCAACCTTAGTTATTACTGGAATTGCATATATTTTACTATCTATTCATGGTGTCTCGAAATATGTAGAAGCCAGCAAAAGCTCAGTGGAACGTGTGCAGTCAACTGGATTTTCGCCTTTCGTTCTATTTATTTTAACGTATTTCTTCCTTTCTTAGCACTGTTTCCTTTTTCATTCCCAACACTATCAGTTTTTTTGTCATTCTCGGAGAACTACTGTGCAGAAAACCTGTCGTGGTTCTCTTCTTCGATTCTTTGAAAAAGAACAAAAAGGTTTAGCGTTGATAAATCTCCGAGATGCGCCATGCATTCGACTCCATTCGTTGGTTCATAGAAGATAATTGATTATATGTCTGGCCTGTACAATGGCCATTGGGCTCTATCGACGTATCAAGTCAATGTTTCCGTCCTCTTGCACAGTCATATCCAGATAGGTGGAGAGCTTAGCTAGCCCATGGCGCGGTATCGACCGAGGATCTTGTGATTAATGCAGGTCACCTCTAGCTATTGCGTTACATGCGACTTTTGATTTGATGAGTTAAATTGACCAAATTTTTGCTGGTCATTCTTAAATTGGCTTATTTCTTCATTCTCATGAAGAGAAGAAAGATTTTCTAAGGACTAATCGGTTTCATAACTAAGCAATTTTTCGTTGTTTGAGCTTTTTTTCTGCTATTTGTTGTGTTTTCACCGTGTCATTCCACTTCCCTTCGACTTTCGCACTCGAAATTCTTTTACTTTAATATTTAAAGTCTTCTATCCAACCACTTCAGATGTTTATTGACTTGTGTTTATACTTACACAGGGTTATGACAAATCCAGAAAAAAATGGACACATTCAAAAGTCGCCGACGACACCTCCGTTAAACGATCGCGGTCGCTTCGAAGTATTTGAGAAGGATGGCAAAAAAATAACTGAAATATTGAGGTTTGAAGTGTCGAGCATCCATAAGTTCTTTTCTTCTCTTAGACATTCCTTTCCTGATGGTAAGCAGAGGAGGTTCACCTCACATACAGTTCTTTACTGGTTTTTCGATTATACTGTTGAAAAATCGGTATGAAATCTCTCATCTGATCTCTATGAGACCTTTTCGACTAAGAAATCAGTGATCCATATAAGTTTTCGTATTCGTTATATGACCGAAGAAGTCCAGTAGTCTAATGCGGTAATGTTACGCTTGAATGCGGAGCGTAGAGGTTCGAATCCGCCTCGCTGATCAACCAAGCATTGAATGCTCCTTGTTTGTAGTTGCTACTCCTTGGATAAGAAAATGTTCTTTGAAGGATCTACACTAAATGCTTTCTCTTGGCCGATCCTTAAAATGGGTTGAGAAAGTGAAATCAACACTCAGTGAACATAAGCAAATTTTTAACCCTTTTATTTACTGCCTTTTTCTTTTTAATGGCACGGTATGTTGCGAAATATAACTCGTTTATAATGCTGAGATGTTTGCAAAACTCCGGACCGCAGGTTTATGCGGTGGGGAACGAACGCGCGCTGTTGTCCTTACCGGGGAGCAGCGCACTTCACCACCACACCATCAGGGTCCTTCGTTTTGCCTGTCTCCTGTCTTTGCCATGACAAAGAGGTCGATAGAACTAGCTGAGAGACAGGACCCGGATGGTGTGGTTGTGAAGTGCGCTGCTCCCCGGTAAGGACAACAGCGCGCGTTCGTTCCCCACCGCATAAACCTGCGGTCCGGAGTTTTGCAAACATCTCAGCATTGTATATAAGCAAATTCGTCACCGAGGCAGAGGTATACTTTCTATAAAAGACCATGTAAAATAAAACAGCATCAGATCTTATTTTGGGCTATCTAGCAGCAAAAATTTTGAGATCGGAATGGACAAAAAATTCTGGAAGAGTTACAAAAGTGTTCAACTCTATAAGACTATACTCTTGGATACATGGATGGCCCGTCCTCAATGATTGTACGGGCCCCAGTACAATCTCCACCCCTTCGGAGTTTTGCTGGGTTAGTCATAGTGGTTTTCTGAAGTTCCGAGACCAGCCAAGCCAAAGTCTACCTTAGGTTGTAACCATCAAAGGCAGTCGCCGCTCTTGCGGATCGGAGGCAGATTTTCCACCATGCGACTAGTCTGATGCCAGGACGATGACGGACACTGGTATTGGTGATTTTCTTCGTATTTTTGTTGAGCAAACGCGAGGTGTTACTATTCTTTGTTCACGATTAAGCTGACGTTTCGGCGGATTTCGCCTTCTTCAGAGCTGCTTTCTACGAGGTTTCCACTAAGTATGTCACGTAGAGACCATCAGGAAGACCATCAGTATGTTCGTAGATAATGACATTATACTTCCACGTGATTTCTGTGCCGTTGGTCTCTACGTGACATACTTAGTGGAAACCTCATAGAAAGCGGCTCTGAAGAAGGCGAAATCCGCCGAAACGTCAGCTTAATCGTGAACAAAGAATAGTAACACGTCGCGTTTGCTCAACAAAAATACGAAGAAAATCACTTGATTAATGCCGAGGTTAATAGAAAGTCGGTCGTGGCAGTTACTGGTATTGGTTTACTCTTAGCTAGGCTTCCTGATGGAAATGCCGGACCCCTTCTCAGCTTGGGAGACCCTGCCAGGGCGATGAATACCCCCGCTGTACATCGCAGCGCGACACCCAGGAACATCTCCCAGCCACGATAAGGTGGTAAACCGTTAGGAGGACTAAATTAACACTGTTAATTAACGTTAAAGGTTTGTCGTGGCCGAAAATTGGTAGATCCGTGTTTCTTCTCAACATTTTATTGCTCGCACCCCTCTATCAATGTTGTGGATACTATCATCTCCAAAACGTCGATTTATTTTGAACTTATCCATATTTGAAAAACTCCTCGAATGATTTATCTCCTCACCGTAACCACGAGGTGTTTCCGTACATCGAGGTGCTCCGTAGGTATAGCAGCGGTTCATTATTCGATCTGTTCGCATAAATGAAGAATATGTTCTACATTTTTATGCGAAGGCTCGGCTAAAAGTGAACTTTCGCCAGTAGTGCTATTGTAAACTGACTCTCATTTAACCTCAGTATGAATGATCAATGAACGTTATTTCGTTGAAAAGCTAACACAAGGTTCTTACCAAACATTTATCCTGCTAACGTTTCGACGTTTTCGTCTTCCTTCCATTAGTATTTGCCGATGTCCTGAAAGAAATCCAGTAGCTTGGGCGGAAATAGCTGTCTCCACAGAAGTGGTTGAATGAATATTTGACCTACGAAACGCTATGTAGAGATCTACTGATGTATCAGTTCAGTGTTTTTATCCTTCCTCACAAATCTGGTTTGCCGGCACCAAAGGGAAAGAGATCTTGGTGGACCAGCCGAACCGCCAGGAAATAACGACTACGTGTGTATATTGCACGGCACCTCTAACCACTGTGTTAGAGGCACATAGTTTTAAATTAAAATTTGTTTGAGGTACAACCCCGTGGAGGTGTTCTGTACTGGATTTATTCCGCCGCTGTTTGGTTCTGTTGCAGCGATTGCGATCGCATTACTTTTTCACAACAACGAAATCAGCAACTATAACTGGCAATGCGGGGTAGGGTTGATCTTTTTTTTTACATTTATTCCATTCAAACAAACTGTTATTGGTCAGACCATCAAAAGCTTTAGGACCTTCAGAACTTTGCTTTTGAAGATTTCCGAAAGATCCATGAGAAAAAAGTTATTTTCGGATTGACGCAAAAAATCCTTTTCGTAATGAAAACCAACAATTCTCAGTGAAATGTCGTTTCTCTTCTCATATTTCGTGGAATGTTTCCATGTTTTTGAAAGGGACCAGAGAATTTCAAGAAGGAGATCTATAATAAGGAAGTAAATTTTTTTAATCACCAATTGATATCGATTAGATCCATCTACTCTTTTTGTGTTTTTTGTAGAAGATGGGAGTACCAAATAAGGAAAATACTTAGGCAAAAACGCAGCTTTTTTCCAACTATTCAAAGAATCCCTTCCTTAAGTTCTTTCATATTTTAGCGTGCTAATCTTCCATCACTATCGCGTATTATTAATTTACCGGTGGAACGAACATTCTGGCAGCTTCTGCTACTTTTTCATGTTCCTGTTAGAGTCGTCGAATTAATGACTGGATGTGGGTTGCTACTATCACTGGTCACCTTTTAATCTTTACAAATGTTTTTCTTTTTTTAGCTAACGAAATTCAATTTTTTTTCCACCTGAATAGGATTTTATTCAATCCTAAAGGCTGGAAAATTCTCGTCGTTGATCAATCCCTAAGGGATGCACCATGAATTCGACTTCATTAAGCATCCTTAGAGGTGATTGAATGCATATCTAACCATACATTGACCCGCAGTGGCCTATCGATGTATCGAGTCAGTGTTGCTATCCTTCCAGACAAGTCTGGTATCAATTTGCCGACACCGGAGGGCTGGCAGTCCAAGTGACCTTGGGGTGCGAAATCGAACACATGATGTGTATTTCAGGGCCCATCTAGCCCACTGCGCTAGTTCGCCTCTTATTCTTAAATATTCGGTCATATAGAGTGAAAACCGATCATTTATTTAGAGGTTTTACACTTGATTAAATGTGTTTAACTACTATTCCAAATTGATGCGGGAGGATTTCAAGATTTCTATACCTTAACAGCGAAGTATACCTATAAGTGATACTATATGGTAGTAATATGCAGTAAAGATGGATAAAATCCGGTTGTTCCCATTTTGTTTGCGAAATTACCGCAAGAACGACTGGTGATTTGATTTATAGAGAAGCCTGGAGAATTCATACGTAAGGTGAGATTCTTTTATTCGCAAACCTGTCAGTGTTCAACCAACGGCATTGTGACTACTATAGGATATCTCTACCTACTGCGCTACATGCTTCGTACTGAATGGATTGAGTGAAGATCTAGAAAAGTTGGAAATTTTTCACCGCTTTCAGTTTCTCGTTACAAGCGACTACAAAACATCTACAATAAACATACATTACTGTATGAGATCTCACGTTACTGCTACTTCTATGCCGGCCTCGGTGAACTCTTATTTCTTTCGGCTCTGTCGATTGTTGGCGAACGAGAAAACATTCGTAAGTTCATTGTCTTTATATCGTTTCTTTGAGATGAACATTTATACCGATAAGAACACTACGGCAACCGACTTTAATCGTTTAAATCAATATTAACCTCACTCATCTATATATTATTAGTCACTGCCCTGTAGAATTATACAGAAAAAGAGAAGAAAGAGTGGAAAAAGGAGAAGGATAGGGTTTATTTTGATGCTGGCCACTTGTTTCTTAACTTTCAACCTCGTCGTTTATTGTAAAGGTTTCTGGGGTTTCGAATTAGCGATCTGTAAATTCTGGAGCCTATGCGAGGTTAACTGAATTGGATTGAACTAATTTCGTTTAAATAGGTTGTAAGATGATGAAAATACCTTATTCACGAACTAAATCGAGTGGCAAATTTGCCTTCTCACTAAAAAATTAAGTTCTCGTTCAAAATTCGATACGGTGCTTTGAATTCATAACTAGCTGAATAGATCCTAGGCTTTTGTATTCAACGTTTCAATATTTCGGTTTAAGCAACAGATAACTTTTCACATCGAGTTACCTCATTTGGACCGAGCTGGAAAATTCGTTGCTGGACTTCTGAGATGAGACCGCCTACCCGTTTTATGGGAGGGCAGTGAGCACGCGTAAGAGAGGTCTAGAGTCGAAGAAAATTTGATTCGTTCAGCTAATCGTCGGTACGATCGAACTTCTAAAAAAATAAAGGTTAGAACGTTTGGCATTGATGAGTCGCTGAGGAATGCTTCATGCATTCGAGTTCCTTAATCATCGTTAGGGGTGATTGAATGCATAGCTGGTTTACACAATTATTGGCGGCGGCCTACCGATGTATCGAGTCATTAAGGCTATCCTCCCAGGTAGCTCCGGCAACAACATACCGACCATTAGAGGGGAAGGGAAAGTTGGTTAGCTCGGGGCGGAATCGAACTACCATCACACTTGTATTGTACGTCACTTCTCACTACTGCGCTGCGCGCCCCATTGGAGTCCTAGAAGATTGAAATTTTAGAAGTTAGTATTGTGGAAGGTCTTCCGAACGGATCTATAGTGTTTTTATTCGGATTTTTTACTTTCTTTTGACATCGTTTTTCGATCGCTTTTTGTTCGCGATGGTCTTTTCAAATTAGGTAATATTTCAGAACTCCATGTGATATTCTTCTATACTTTTGGCTTCTGTGGTATTGGACATATGATTTCGAACATTTTCTGCCATGCACACTCTCTTTACTACCTGAATCCATACGTAATTCTTTTTAATCTTTATCTTTTCAAAAGGATATTAATCAGCTTCCATTGTTTTAGTCATTCCTACCAGTAATCCTCTCAATTCGTATCTTAGCAAACTTAAAGCTTTTCTTGATCAAAAGGTTTATGAGAATTTTGTGATAATTAGCGGATTTGTTATTGTTGAAGACAAAGCCACAGTGTTGTATCACTTTCTCTGTATTGGCAAGGCATTTCTGTTCGTCATCAACCCTTCACAAACGTTTTAAACCCATCCATTCAGTTTACTATCCTTTTTTGCCATAGGCGTTCGCCACGGCATTTGTGGACCGGAAGCACCTTTCCAGACAAGCTTGCGGCCAATCTCGCGATCTCGGAGAAAATGGGACGCTTGACTGGCTGAGTACGGAGTCGAACTAGAGGCACCTGCCCTTATTATTGAATGCTATCTTTACCACTGTTCTTCTAACGTTCGTTATTGAACAACTTAAAACAATCGTTTTTTCGAGAGAGGTTGCAAAATTTAGGAACGTTGCGAGAAATTTCATGGCCCACTATGAACTATGAATATTTGATTGTCTTTAGTTTCCGTTGACGGGTGCTTGCTGATGGCACTGATCAATAAGGACTAGCTGAGAGAGAGGCTAGACGAAGGACCCGCATGATGTGATGGTGAACGCGTTACCCCTGGAAAGGGTAATAGCGCGTTTGTCCCTCACCGCAGACACCTGCAGTCCGGAGTTTGCAAATATCTCAGTTGTGGTTGCCTTTACTTGGTTTTTGCACCTTTAATTGTTGGAGCTTTTAACGATTTTTTTCTTGAGTTATTATTTCACTTACTAGATGCTTATTTTTTGGTGTTTTCCATTTCTCGCCTCCCATATAGTTTTTTAACCGTAGGTGTGATAATGTTCAAAAAAAGAAACTCACTTCGTCATTATTAACTTCATTATTTAGTCAGGAAGGGTTGATGTCTTTAAAAATTGATAAATGTCCAACTTTGGAGGAAGCATTGTGGTCCCAATTCCGTTTTTCTTAGGGTCGAATCGGTTATTATTTGAAGATTATCTCTGCTTCACTTTATATTATATCAGCACCTATCTTAGTGGGATCATTTATTCTCTACTGGAAACGATGCTTAACTTGGGGTAAGTAGTTGTAAACTTCTTTACAAAATGTATTGTTGCCTTTGGAGAAGAAGCCGAATGGGTAACGAAATGTAGTCTCCCACTAGTGCGTACACATTTGCTGGTTCAATTCCCGTCATCCTAGCAACCACCAAGGTTTAGAAGTTCTAGAACGCGTAAAGTGACTTTTGAGGGTGGCTCACCGTTGTATGAAAGCAGTGTTTTTATCCTCTCAGAAGAGTCTGGTAGCAATTTGCTGACCTCAGAGAGAATAAGGACTTGCGATGCTCGCCATGCGGAATCGAGCTAATCACAATGCTTGTACTCCTGGGCACGTCTAATAGCTGCGCCACACATGTGCTATGATAAGAGGTGCTTCGTTAATAGAAATATCGTATACATTTAACTGCAGCTTATGATGTGTTTGCTATTTGCGAATACTCTGGTGTGTTTCTGAACATCTGTTTCCATAGTTGTGCGTTCTTCGATATTCGCTACAAGGTCTGCTTTAGGTGAGTGGCATTTAGCCCAACGTTTTCCATTTTCTACATTTCTTTCTGTAATTTTATACTTGAATGGACGAAAAATAGCCTGACTGATCATTCGATGCTTCTCGAATATATGAAACATGGATGATTCTGCTGAATTGCACGGAACTGCTTACCGCTTCGTTCCCATTATTCGTTTCACTTTTAAATTTTTACCTTTCTTCTCGTTGTCTAATATAGGGATAAAGAAGAATTAAGTAGATAAGTAAAAGCTATCAGAGAAGAATGAGTGAAAGCGATTCTTTAGAGTTGCTAAATCGATACATGTTAGTATTCACTTTCGAGAACCACCACCGATTACGGTAATGTGTTTAGTGTCCGTCACATCGAACCGATCAAAGAGAAACCAGTCGGAGTGAAAGGAACAATATCAAGCTCGGAGATTGAGCTAAAACAGAGAGCTAAAGTGTGAGTACTTCCGTCTTGGAAGAAGAAGAAGAAGAGGCTGCAGAGTTAATGAAACTTCATCGAGTGCAATCGTTTTCCAGACTTTAGCCTGCATTATCCCTCATTGTAGCACACATAGGCAAGTCTCCTCATTTAACTTGCACCATTTGTGATTGTAACACATTTGGAAGAGTTTCCTGATTCACTGAACGATTTATTGTTTGTACACAATTAAATATAAACTTCTATCTTTCATTCCACTATAATTTCACCGCACCATTTTTAATAGAAAGTCAGTCATAGGAGTCACTACAAGACGTACCAGCAAGATTCTTCCGACTTGTAAAAGAAGCGCTGTCACTAAGACAAAAGGTCATGGTTGGCTGCGTGGATTGCAGTCACCTCAACCTTTCCAGACTCTGAGGAAGGCGAAATCCGCTGAAACGTCAGCTTGTGCTTAAATAAAAAACTAAGTAGCACTTCGTCTTTGCTAAATAAGAATATAAAGCATAATTTATAGAGTTTCTAGTCGAGTTTCATAAAGAAGATAAATTGAACGCGATAAATTGAGAATAGAGGTATCAGGAAATAAACGATATTAGGTGGTAAACCCAAGCTTATTTGCTACTGTAAAAATACTGAATCACTTTTTTCAGAAAAATTTTAAGAAAGCCAACGGAATAGCCTTTCATAACAGGAGAAGTTCTTGGCTAACTGCTTGATCAGAGCCACTCTCTAAAATTGTCCTATTTTAACAGAAGACTGTGATCTCTAGTCACCAGAATTACTATCGTTGTTAATTTTCCTACAACAATATTCTCTACGGAATATTTTCTCAGGAATCTGTGTTTTTGGGTGCCTCTTAGCTTTTCTGTATATCTAGGACAGTTTAAGCTTGAATACGCCCGTCGACTTGATGTTATTCGGCTGAGTTATTTCCCGATGTCACACAAATGTCTTTCATTAATGGTGGTATGGTTCTTTCCATACAAAGAAACAATAAAGGATTTCTATTTGTGTCCAAAATGCAGTTTTTTGTTCTTATCAGCTCTCGTTTGCTGTCTTTTTAATGGCAACCAACAGAATATTCTTTTATTCTGCAAATTCTTCTTTAAAACGATTGGTTTTTCGATACATAACAGGTCATTGCAGATAGATAAGATAGATGGCAAGACAAAATCGAAACCTTACCTGAGCCCTAAAAAATTTGCTTTGTAAAACACTATTTATTTGGCTGTTTCACGTACTAGTATTCTCTCTAATGATGAAACTGCTGTACACTAAAATTCGACACCCACTGACGTCCCATGCTTTAGTGGTTAGCGATGAGTCAGGTTTCGTAAAAAAAAAAAAGGTTTATTAATGCTTAATGGCTCACAGCAACGTCTTGGGTGATTGTGTTCCGGGATGTTAAACCACCAGAATTTAGAGAGAAAGTTCATTAACAGCATGGTCATCTAAACTGAGTTACTGTTCAATATTTCTATCCCAGAGCTTTGTTGAAACTAATGGTATGTTAAATACAGCCACAAGGATGGTGAGATTTTTGCTTGTGTGTCAGCATTCTTGTGTTTGTATTTCAGATAATGCCTGCATGAAAAAGAAGAGTAGGCAGTAAATAAATTTGATGATCAAAGTCTTGAATGCTTTTGGTGACGACCTTGATACATCTATGATTAGGGACTTCAGGGAAAGGACGCTTGCCCAGACAGCAAAAATGTCTATTACATGAAAATAGTGCTATGACCCACAATATTAGTTGTCCAAATAAGCAAAACGTGCTTAGTCCGACTATTAGAAGTATGCTCATGGTGAAAATAAATGAAACGCTAGGAATATTTCCCTTTTTCACAGCGTCGGCACTTTTTATTTACTGCCTAATCTATCTTAATGACAGCCGAAATATAGTAGAAATAAAGGGTAAAGCTCGGCGTTGATCAATCCCTGAAGTATGCGCCATACATTCGAATTCATTAAACATCTGCTGGAGGTAATTAAATGCATATCTGGCCTTTATAATGACTCTCGGTGGCCTACCGATGTACCGAGCCGGTGCTGCTATCCTCCGAGAGAAGGCTGGTACCAATTTTCTGACCCTGGAGACATAGAAAGCTTGGTGGGCCATGGACGCGAAGATCGATTCTACATGTGTGTTGCAGGACGTCTCCGACCACTGCGCCACGCGCACCCTATATGAAATATAATCATAATAATGTTGAGAAATCGGAAAACTCCGGACGGCTTCTGTCTGCGGTGGGGACCGAACACATCACCAGCCTTTCTGGGAGCTAATGCGTTCACCACCACACCATGCTAGTCCTCCCTTTCGTCTGTCTCTCTCCTGTCTGGGATCTTTAGAGTTATAGTTATATTTCATATATTACAATGCCATTAAAAAAGAGTAAGCGGTAGATAAAAAGTGGCGACATTGTGAGCAGCTTCAACTCAACTGGGTTCAACACCGATTTGATGCTGACTCCCCAGATCAGTCCCGTTGACAGGTGATTGCTAATAGCAGCTATTGGTCAGTAACACGGCTGATAGAAAGACTAAACGAAGGGCTCGCATGGTGTGGTTGTGAGCGCGTTAGTCCTCGGAAAAGCTGATACCGTGTTCGGTCCCCACTGCAGACACCAGCAGTCCGGAGGATTGCAAATATCTTAGCATCATTGCGGTTATTCTGGTTTCTTTTTATATCGCTTACCTCAGGTTCAGCCGTTCCGTCAGAATCGCCCAAGATTAATTGCCACTTATTATCGATCTTTGCTGGAGGCTCGTATGGTGCAGTGGTAGGAGGCGCCCTGTACCCTGTAACACACGTGGAATCGAAGCCCGCGGCCATGCCTCACTAAGCCTTTCATCCCTTCGAGCTCGGCAAATTGGTAACAGACTTGTCTGGGAGGATATCAGCACTGGCTCGATACATCGGTAGGCCACCGCGATCCATTGTAAAGGTCAGATATACATTCAATCACCTCCAACGATACTTAGTGAAATCGAATGCATGGCGCATCCCTCAGAGATTGATCAACCCCGAGAGCTTTAGTTTTATTCATCGCTCTTTGCTACAAGGCTAATATTGAAAATGAAAAAATGTAATTACACCGCACGCGTTCCGGACCAGAAGTGTCTGTGTTGTTCCCTCGAGAGCAGATGGCCTGCCTGAGTTCTTTCCGGGCTCTCATCTAGACCAGCAAATGCTTGCAATGTTCATTGTTTCTTTTGTCCGCAGACTTTTTATTTTCTGTATTATTTATGCGGTTTTTCTTTAATTTTTTCTAGAAAAACGTCGATTAATAGCAAATTTATTATTCCTTGTCGAAATCAACATTTACTATTTCTATGATGACGCTAAGCTCTTTAATTTGGATAGAAGTTCTGTGGTACCTTTAAGTAGAAACTTTTCTGAAAATGTTTATTGCTAATCATCTGGTATTATTGATATTGCTAGCGGTTTGCTATGTGTAATATTTCGGAATCGTGCATTAATCATTATCGAATTTCATCCTTATCGTCCTCTGTTTTCGTCCAATCATTTCTAGTTTTCCATTTTTAATATGAACAGCACTGGTAGCGCAGTCGTTGCGATGTCATCCAATAATACGCGCAGGCTTATAGTTCAATCCCGCATTGAGCCAACCGAGCATTCTATTACCTTCGAATTGTTGTCGGACTTGTCTAAAAATTGTACTCTCTGATCCACAAAGACTGCTGACTGCAAGCGGTGGAGATCTGAGAACACCCTAAACAATCAGTCATCCCAAGCTCAAAGGACCAGCATTCAGCGCCATTCGTGAAAAATACCAAAACCTGGGAATACCAACTGACGCGGTCAACATTGGTTCCATCTGAGTAATGGTCGATGTTATAAGAACGATGTAATCAGTAAAGCGAAGATGGTGCAATTACCGGCATCGATTTTCACTCCCATGCTGTCCCATTCCAATCTTCTCATAACGTTTTCGAGGGTGGCGGTAAATAATTTTGGCGAGATGGTATCGTCTTGCCGGACCTCTGTTTTTACATCAATGTTAATATCTTTATAAAATGGTGATATTTTTGTTTTGGAATTTTCATAAACTTTCAAAGGATTA